TGCGTATGTGAATGTGTGTATGAGTGTGTGCGTGTGTTTGTGTGTGTGCCAATGGAATCCTTTTTATCAAAAGAACATCGAGGCAGTGAAAGGCGGTGGAAAAGTAATAATTATAGAAGAATGTTTATGCCCGAGGCAATTGTTCGTGATGATAAATGATGTGGGAGTTTCGGATTTGCGAAAAGGAAGTTTTCCACACAACCCCCATACCTCCATCACACCTCCTCCTCTCTCACAGATCATCAATAATTCCTAAACAAAAATAAGAAAAAGATATATCCTGAAACCCAATGGAGTCACAACTAATGAGGCCATCAGCCAAAGACAAAGAGAGAAAGAGAGTTGCCGGCTGTAAAATATTCAAATAGAACAATCAAAAGTAATCTACCAAGTTGCTTTTGGGAAGCCCTCAAGGAGGTGCCAAGTAAGGCAAAGGAAATGCAAAAAAAATAATGAAAACCCAAAGAAAAAAACAATAAAAAGTTGAGCAGGAAAATTTCCCCAACGAGCAATTCTTTCATTTTTTCGGTTCCTTTGGTTCTTAGGAAAAGTAAAACACAGAAATTGAGTAAAGCACACAAAAGAAGTGAAGCTCACCAAAAAAGCAAAAAAAGAAACGAAACGAAACGAGAAGAAAACCCAAAACCAAAACCGAAACTTAAAAAAAAGGGAAAAAGGGAAAACTGTGGCAACAATTTTTACGTATGATAAGCGTGGATGGAGGGAGACCCCAGAGCCTGTGTACTTTCCAAAACTGTTTTAAAAGCTTAACCACGAGAAAACTGCGAATATTCCCTAATGACACAAGAAAGGGGGGTGAGGAGGGTGATGGCTGGGAAAGTGTGGAAAGTCGGTAAAATTCGGCACAAAGCTAAAGGGAGTGAAGTGGCATGGTGATGACGGCCTTGTCCCAGAAAGAAAGCAAAAAAAAAAGAAAACCCCGTAAGAAGTGTGAGGAAGTCTGGCGAGAATAGTCGGAAAAGCACAGAACGCATTTCCCCAAACAAGAAGTGGGTGGATGGGTTGGGTTTGGTAGAAAAAGAAGATTCCAAAAGGCAGTTTTTCCCAAGACCTGCGACTCAATTGCTGTGAATATCTGCATAGGCGTAATCAAGGTTCTTGGGGGATTGCCAATGGCTTTACCCAAAGCTTTGTGGCCAAAGGAGAAAATTTACTAAGAAAAATGAGCTAAGAAATCAATACAGCAAAGTTGGTGCTTAAAAACAAATTTCTTTAACATTTTATTTCCCCATCTTAAATAAATTTGTTTGTAAATGTAAATAATTTTTTAATATTTAACAAACTTTAACCACTTTAAGCTTGGAAAATGAACTCAAGTGACAGAATTTTTAAACGTTTTCGCTGCCATAACTGACTTTTTTATTTATTCAGAAAGTTAACTCTCCGCCTCAATTACAGTTTCAATGCAGTTAACGCCCCTTTCTGTTTCTCCACTTCACTTCGCCGCCCCCCCAAACTCCACTTCCTTCTCGGAATCAAATTGAATTACAAAAGAGATAAGGCAGGCAAACTCTCTTTTACTTTTTACCAAAGAACCAAAAAAAAGAGAAAAAAGAGAAGGAAGGGAAAACAAGTCCTTCCGCTTTTCCTCCAACTGAATAATAAGTAAAAACAAAGAAAGAAGAAAATTTCGGTCTCTCATTGCCAGTGTAAAATTGTAATTTTTACACCTTCACGCCAAAAAAGTAGCATGAAGAAGGGAAGACGGAATTCCCCCTGGAAAACTGGCATTTTCAGTGTTCTTCTGGGAAATGCTGGCACTTGAGGAACTTTTAGTGCGTCTCAATGCGCATTTTAAATAAAATAGAAATTCAATTTACTTTAAATAAGCGGCGACCCAGGTGGGTGGCTATAACAAGGTGACACGTCAATGCCAGAGTTTCCACAGCTTTTCCGCCGCACAAATGAAATGTAGAAAATCTACAGCAACGAAAAAAAACGTAAGAAAGGAAAACTTTTCTCTTTTTTTTCTTTCTTTCTGTTCTTTTTTTTTAAATGAACTTAAAATTGACTAAATGTGCTAGAATAAGGTGCGAAGAAGCTATGGTTTCTTGGGGGAGGAAAGCTGGGCAAAAACGTTTGGGGAGAACTGTGTGGAAAATTGAGAGTGGCGGGCTGAGCGGGATGGCAGACGAATATAATTAAGCGGCGTTTAAAATGCTTGTACTAAGACATGCTGCGGAACAGGCTGAAATTGTGGATGGCGGCGCGTTAATTGGGAGTCTGGAAAGGGGGTTTGAGGTTGGTTTGATAGGATAGTGGGGGAGTGAGAGGGGGGGTTGGGGATGAAAACTCGACAAAACTTTCCACAAAGTTTAATTTAAATATGAATGAGCGTTTTTCTTCTCAGCCATCACACTTTTGTTTTTGCTTTTTCTTTCTTTTTTTTCTTTACTTTTTTGGTTTTTCTTTCTTTCTGTTTAAAATGGAAAATTTCTTTGTGGTTTTCCGCTTAATGGAATTTGTAGTTTTTTGTGTTAACTGCTAATTTTTAATTTTATTTGTAAAAATTAAATATCAAAGTTAATTTTTAGTAAATGAAATATTTGAATAATCCATTCGTGGAATAATTACTACTCTACTTTCTGTTTATGCTGTAAAAATAAGGAAAAACCTTGCGTGTTGAGATTGAGGGTTGGGTTGGGTTGGGTTGGGTTGGTGGTTATGACTCTAGGCTTGGCTTGGTTGGACAACCGACTTAAAGGGGCATTATAAATTGTTCCCTAATCCTAGGGACTTAGAGAGCTCTCTCCTCTGCTGTTTGTTTTCATTGCCATGAAAAACGAGGGGGAACCTGAATCTCTAAGGGTGGAGAAGTCGTCGTCCCTTTCTCGCTCTGACTTTGATTTCGCTTTATGTTTGCATCACAACAGATTTGCGTTGGCCATATTGTTGTTACCTTAGTCTCAGTTTTGTTTTTTTTTTTTTTTTTTGGTTTTGTTGCCAGGTGATAAGGCAAATCGTGGGCGTGGCTGTTGTGGCCATAAACCGCAACGCAGGATCAGAAAGTGTGATGGGTGGGAACAGGGAGGGGGGATTTTTGAAAGCCGTTAAAATCGTTTTCGCATAATTATAAAGCAACCTCTCTCGAGTGCACTCGCAGAAAAGTAGTGAGTGGGTGGATGATTGGGTGGTTTGTAGGGTAAAAAGGACACTGGATTGTGGGTGTGGTCCATTGATGGCCGGGCGCCAAACTGTCGGCCGCCAAAACACCCCACCCCGCCCCCTACTTATTCCCCTCTTTAGTTTCTCTCCCAGTGAGAGAGAAGAAGGGGGAAAAAAAAATGCTGGGAAAAACAAACAAAAACAGACATAAATACAGTTGGGGATTTATATCGCCCCAAGTCTCTCTCTCTGTGTGTCTCTGTATGAGTGTGATGTTTTTTTTTCTTCTCTGTGTGTCTGTGTGTGTGTGTCTGTGTGTGTGTGTGTGTAAGGACACTTGTAACCACTTGTGAGCTAGACAGAGAGAAGTCTCCATCTGTCTTCCAATCTCTCTCCTCGCCCCTTTACTCTAATCAATTTATTGAATTTATTTTTGCTGATTTTATTAAAGCGCGCAAAAAGCTAGAAAAACAATTTTGGATGGACAAAAATATATTGACATTTCGGGGGCTGTGTAGAGGCAACAACAACAACAACAACAACGGGGCGTGGCTAAAATTTCGATGGAAGTGGATTTTCTTGGCGCCTGGCATAATTAAGTTAGAACCTTTTTTGCCGCCGCCGTTTTTGTGACGTGACTGGTTTTGGGTAGGTGTTATGGGGGGGTGGGGGGTGTTGCTACCCCTATACAGCCTTGATTGTTATTGTTGTTGCCCGCTGAAAGGATGCCCTGATTGCTCCTCAATGATGGCAAAAGGATGTGTCTGGGGCAAGCTCTCAGGCCGTTAACACACTAGACTGTACTTAGCCTAAGCTCAGGGAAACTAAAAAAGCTTAGGGGAGGGTTGAAAAAGTATGAGGGGGGGAGGTAAAGGCAAATGGCTTGCTAAATGATAATCCCTTCTCTCCTTCCCCTTGTAAAAACGCTGGTAAGATAAGGAAATTTGTGCTTTTTAAAGTCCAATCATCATCCATCAAAATGGTATTAGGTTAAAGGCATTTCGAAATCAGTTTTTAAGGCAAAGTTATTTATAGTTTTGGATGTTTAAAGGTTTATCAGAATGACTTTGATGGATGGCTATTTAAATTAAAGAAAAAAACTTAATTAAAAGTTGGCATTTTTCCTGGCTAAAACGATTCCGATTTCCGATTTTTCAAAGAATATTTTAAAAATAACATTCAGAGTTCAAAATTTCCCATTGAAAACGAAAAATAAAAGAAAGTTTTTAGTTTAAATAAATACAAAAGGAAACTCTAACTGCGCTGGATAAAACTGAACATTGATTTCAATTAAAAGAAGCTGGCAAAGTTGGGGGCTGGGGCTTTGGACTTTTGTGCGGTCTAGATAAATGAAAACTACATTGATTTTGGCCCAATCAACGGATTTAAGCCAACTGTTAGTTGTTCGTTCTTTTTGAACAAATACTCGTAGGAAAAAAAGAAAAAGTAAACTCTGTTTTGTTGTCGTATGGCTGTTGGACTCTCAACTCTTGGCTAAAAAAACTTTTGTCAGTCATTTGCCATTTTCCATTTACCATTTCCCGTGTTCCATCATCTCTTCTCTCAAAACACACACTCCCACACACACATACATCCATTATTTCCAATTCAAACTTTACCAATTACAAATCTGCCGTCAACTTTTCGCATATTTTTCCCTCAGATTATCCACATGACAGTGCCAAACCAAAAATAAATTTAACCATCTCTCTCTTCAAGCGAAAAAGAACTGAAGGATTTTTCCACTAATTGTGAACATTTTTCAACATTTTTCCCACACACACCCACCTCCCCCTCTCTCCACACATTGTTTATACAATATCCAAACTGTCCACATTTAACTTATATATATTTTCTCGTTTTTTTTTTTTCAGCTGGTTGGCGGTGAATTCGATATGGAATTGAATTTTGTGATACAGGATGCGCAGAATATCAAACATATGCTGGAGCTGTTGGATCATTGTCCGCCCAATTTGCAGGTGAGTTGTTTTCGTTTATCCTACACTACACTACACTGTACAACATGCAAAAAGTATACACGCGCACGTTTGCAATTGAAAGTAACCGGCAAATCCCAGATTTTCAACACACATGAATATAGATTTTTATTTGGGCTGCTGCCGCTGCTGCTGCTGTATGACGGTGTCTGGTGACTTTTTAATAGAATTTAATTCAATTCGCTTTGCGGCATCAAAGAAAATTAACAACGCAGAGGGGGGCGGGGAGGTGGAGGCGTGGCAGCCGAAATTGCGCGTAATGAAAACGCAACATCAACACGAAATGCCTTTCAACTCGCTCTGCTGCCGGCTTGTTTTTCGCCTTTCCCCCGCGCCTCTTTGCCTCAACGGCAGTGGTTGGGTTTTCTTTTTACCTTGATTTGCATATGAATGTGGGTTACACGGGGAGAAAAGTTATTATTGTTAAGAAAAAGTGTTAAAGATTTAGTTTAGAGGGAAAATTTGGGGGAATTTTGTTGATAAATATTAAGAACAGGAAAAGTGTGATTTCTGTGCTTATAAGTTTGACTTTTTCCCTTAAATAGTTAAGTAATTTTCTTAAATTATGTAATTTTCTCTTAGTGTATTTCTTTACGGAGGCGTGGCTGCTGCTGCTGCGTGTCTGTGTGTGTGTGTGTGTTGGTGGGGGTGCCTCTGTGTTTGCGCTTAACAATATTTTACACCTGACGTTGTCGCTGCTCGCTCGCTTGTGCCATCAAATTATTAGCATGACTGCTGGCGAAAGGATCCCAGTAACTTTTCATGTCTGTGTGTGGGTGGTTCTTTTTTTACCCCTCTGTGTGTGTGTGCGTGTGTGTGATGACAGGAAGTGTTTGCTTCTGGCAGACTGAGTGGGTTGCTCGTTGTTGCTGCTGTTGCCGGTGTCATCCAAAGTGCGAAGGCACAGACATCGGAAGTTGAACCTACAGAAGCTATATATATATATCCATATATCTATCTATATATATGATTATAAAAAGGTATAAAAAACATATATATATATAGGCAACTATCTGTTATAAAATCGCAACAAAGTTGCCGCTTTATGAGTTTCCATTGGTACGTTGACCCCCCTCTGAAATTCAACCCATTTAGCCATTGCAAAAATAGATACAAACTTTGTGTATGTTAAAAAAATATTTAAAAAAAAGGAAAAACAAACCACAGATAATGTAATTTATTTCGCACTTAAGGGAGCGCTCTAGAATATCAAATTGCATTTTCCGTATTTTCCCGCATTTTTTAACTTTTAGCCAGGGTAGGGGATGGCTTTGCTGCTTTTTAATCTTTGGAAAATATTATATTTAAGAGTAAGCCAGATTTGTGATTTTAGAAAAGAGAATAAAAGGAAAATTTTCAAAATTTATATTTTATTTTGAATTTACAATAAATTTCCCTTTTGCCTAAAGAGACCATGTTGCCACTTTTATCCCGGCCTGGTTGGCTTTAACTCTTTTTGTCCCTGATTTTGCGTAGGTGTATGCGTACTTACTATAGTAAGTATGTTATATGAATGTGTGGGTGAATGGATGTGGTTTTCTGTGGGTGGTGGTTACTGGCATCTTTTACCACCTTACGCCTTCAAGTGCGTAAGAGTGTGTTTTGTTTGTGCGTCACACAAACAAGCGATCCATTTAAGAGCATCTTACATATATGGGCGCATACCTCACGCCCAGAAAAAAAAAACACCAAGAGCTGGATGGAAGCCATCCATAAGACCACCCACAAACACCACCCACAGTAACTACTCTTTAATGATATTATTAATGTGTATTCCCGTATAAGTAAAAGACGTCCGGCTAGTTGAGTAGATACATATGGAATGAACTTTATTCGATACTTTTGGTGACTGCAGTTGGTACTATCGATACAAACTAAATAGCTAGAGATTACAATGCAATGACAGTTTCAATACCCTTCCTCAATGTAAGCTCACATTAAATATTTCAATACAAACTTAATTTCTTTGTAAGCTCACAATGCTTTTGTTTTTGAAGATTCTTCGTTAATATATCTGCAATCATCTCTTTAGTTGAAAGATACTTTAAGTTAATCTGACCTTCCTTAACAACATCTCTTACAAAGTGGTACCTAATATCTATGTGTTTCGATCTTGAATGATGTACAGGATTCTTTGCCAACTGCTGCGCGCTTAAATTGTCAGTATTCATTATTGTCGATGTTCCAGGTTCTCCGCAACCGATTTCCAATATAAGTCGTCTCAATGAAATCGCCTCCTTGCATGCGGATGATAATGCCATGTATTCTGCTTCCGTACTGCTGAGAGCTACACTGCGTTGCTTTTCTGATTTCCACGAAATAGGTCCTCCTGCCAGATAGAATAGGTAACCTGTGTATGACTTTCTATCAGTTTTGTCTCCTCCCCAGTCAGCGTCCACGTAACCAGTCAAAGGCTCATTACTAATTTTGTAATGCAATTTTAGGTCTTTTGTTGATGCCAAATATCTCAAGACGTGTTTTACTCCTGTCCAATGCTCACTGTGGGGATCCTTGTTGCGCTGCGCCAATTTAGATACTGAATGTAAAATATCTGGCCTTGATGATAGTGCCAGCCACATGAGTTCACCTATGACCGCTTGATACGCCTGCTCGTTGACTGTTTCGCATCCCTCTTTCTCGCATGTTATTTGGAATCCTGCATCCAGTGGAGTTGCAGCTACTCTACATTCCTTAATTCCGTGCCGCTGAAGCAGATTCTCAATATAGAGGGTCTGACTTAACTTTATCTCGCCCAGTTCGCCATCGCGATGTACTTCCAATCCAAGAAACATGTGCAACTGTCCGTGATCAACGCATTCAAACGATTGGGCGATTTTGCTTTTTATGCCGATGAGATCCTTTTTATCTTGACAGGCTATGATCAGGTCGTCTACGTATACAAGAATAAGTGCAAGATGCTGTCCACTTGTGTTTATGTATAGACATGGCTCGTTTGCACATGCATTAAAACCAATACTACGCAGAACTCCATCTAATTTACAGTTCCACTCTCTGCCAGACTGTTTTAGGCCGTAAATTGCCTTCTTTAACAACAACACACCGTCCGCGTGATCTTTGGCTACAAATCCGTTTGGTTGTTTCATGTACACGGTATCTGTTAAATCGCTATTCAGATAAGCGGTACAGACATCCATCTGGTGCAAATATAATTTTAACTGTGCAGCCAGGGCAAGTATGAAACGAATGCTTTCCATCCGACACACAGGTGAAAAAGTTTCAGCATAGTTAATTCCATACTGTTGTGAACAGCCTTTGGCTACTAGACGTGCCTTATACCGCTGCACTTGCCCGTTGGCATCCCTCTTCACAGTAAAAATCCATTTGCATCCTATGGCGCGTTCTGTCCTAGGAAGATCCACTATCTGCCATGTATGGTTGTTTATAAGAGCCTCGTACTCTCGATTCATCGCATCCAACCATAATATCGAATCAGGACACCTAATTGCTTCTTCGTAGCTTTCCGGAACAAATACGTCGCTGCCAATTGCCGCTCCTAAGACATTGTACTGCTTTCGCGGGCGTCCAGGTTTGCCCGTGCGAATCAGTTTAGGTCTGCCAGGACCCACTCGTTTTCCGTCTTGTGCGTTGTGCTCACCTCCTTCGGTGTTCTCATCTTGCGCACTATCCACCTCCTCTGCGCTGATGAACTCGTCACTGCTGCGATCATTTTTTATGCCGCCGTTGTCTTGGTCGTATGAGCTTTCGTCGTCCGAACTGGCGTATTCCTGCAAACCGGGGTTGACCTTGCCATCTGAGCTTACATCATCGCTGCAGTTGTCCCTCTTATCCTCCAATTGATCGTCTGAAACCTCACTGGCTTGGGGTAGGTCAAACGATACGAATCCGGCATCCTTCGCCAGGTTATCAGCTCGCTCGTCGAAAAGTACGTCCCTCTTTTCGATAACTTGTCCTGAGCTCGGGTCGTAAAGCCTATACCCTTTGGCTGTTCGAGAATAGCCGACCATTCGGTATTCTTTTCCCTTTTGCTGGAATTTACTTCGTGCGTGGCCTTTATCAAGTGCTACTGCGAAAGAACCAAATACTTTAAAATGAGATATTGATGGTTTTTTACCGTTCCACGCTTCCATCGGCGTCATATCTCGCAGCGCGTTCGTAGGCGCTCTGTTCCGCAGATACACGGCTGTGTATATAGCCTCTCCCCATAAGGACTCCATCAAGCCAGATTGCGTCAGCAAGCATCGGGCCATCTCCACTAACGTACGGTTAGCCCTCTCCGCTACTCCGTTTTGTTGTGGGCTGTACGGGATTGTCAGTTGCCGCTTGATCCCATTTGCTTTGAGGAAGTTGTCAAAGGTTGCATTAACAAATTCCTTTCCGTTGTCACTCCGTATGCACTTCAGAAGCTTTCCAGTTTGCCTCTCCACGAGTTCCTTAAACTCTACGAACTTAGAGAATACCTCGTCTTTGCCTTTCAAAAAGTAAACAAATATACGACGTGACTTGTCATCGATAAACGTTAGAAAGTATCTATTTCCACCCAGGGATCTTGTACTAAAAGGGCCGCATACGTCTGCATGAATAAGTTCTAAAATTTCACTGGCTCGGTTCTCAGTTTTATGTGGAAATGGCTGAACATGTATTTTGCTCAACATACATGTTTTACAAGACGTATTTTGTGGTAAACTACAACTTTCCATTCCACGAACCATGTTCTTCTTCACGATATCAGACAGACTGCGATAGTTTATGTGACCGTATCGCATGTGCCATAAAATACCATCGGTACTGGAAGCCGCAAAACACTGATTGGACTTTCCATCAAATGTATACAGATTTCCAATTTTCTTTACTTGGAAAATACACTCGCCGTTCTGAATAATCTTTGCATGCCTGTCGTTAAAATGCACCAAATTGCCCTTAGAAACGGTTTGACTTACAGACATGAAATTCCCCTTCATCGTAGGAACAAATAGTACTTCGTTTAGTACAAGGGTGTATCG